GGTCCTGAGGGGCCTGGGGTGGCCTTGGGGGACCTCCGGGTGGTCCTGAGGGACCTGGGGTGGTCTTGGGGTGACCTCGGGGTGGTCCTGAGGGGCCTGGGGTGGACAGCCCCGCCCCGCAGGGCAGCGCCCAGGGGAAGTGGGCGGCCCGCCCCCGCGGAGCGAGGCATGCTGGGAGCCGCACTTCCTCCCCAGGAGGCTCCAGAAACCACAGGGCTCCGGTCAGGGCCGCCGCCCCCGGGAGCGACAGGATGGCTGAGGGCAAGGCTGGCGGCGCGGCCGGCCTGTTCGCCAAGCAGGTCCAGAAGAAGTTCAGCCGGGCCCAGGAGAAGGTAAGCGCCGCCGCCGCCGGAGCGAGGCCCGAGGCCGGGTGTGTCCGGAGGGGCCCGAGGCCTGGGCTGAGAGGAGGGTCCGGCTTCCTGGGGAAGCAGGAGCGGGTAGGTGCATATGGAACAGGCAGGCTCGAGGAGAGAAGAAATCACCCCATCTGGGACAGGAGAAGGGCGCTGGGAGACGCCGTCTCTCCAGGAGCTTGAACGCTCGTCTGACCCGGAGAGATGAGGGAGGACCTGACACTGCGAGGCTGGGCGCAGTGCTGACCCTGGCAATTCAGCGGGGATGGGATTTCACAGACGATGACATGGATGGTTCCAAGGTGGTGATTCCCTCAAAGTCCTGAGACGGAAATGGCCCGCTGTGCTGCCCTGTGCCCCCGGGTGGCTTGGACTGGAGTCCAAGGACGAGCCATTCTGCAGGGCACAGCGGTTCTCAACCTGTGGGTCGCGACCCCTTTGGCGGTCGAACGACCCTTTCCCAGGGGTCGCCTAAGACCATCCTGCATATCAGATATTTACATTACGATGCATAACAGTAGCAACATTACAGTTATGAAGTAGCAACGAAAATAATTTTATGGTTGGGTCACAACATGAGGAACTGTATGTAAAGGGCCAGAAGGTTGAGAACCACTGCTGCAGGAGTCTGGCCCTAACCCCGCCTGGCCCCCGGGTGCTGTCTAAGCTGTTGTAAGAGCGGCCGTGTCTGCTTCCTGTCCGGTCCGGGCTGATGAAGGTGCTTCCCTTTGCGTTGTGCCCTTGGTTCGCTCTGGGTGGTCCTACTCCAGCCCTAGCGGGTAGGCAGATTGTCGGTCTGTGACGTGCCTGCCTATGAGAAATACTTGGACACTTCTCGACACATGTAATGGCATTCTTGTGTCTACCTACCCAGAGGGTTTTCTTTGCCTCTAACCTCGACTCCTGCCCCCGCCGTCAACACTGGCAGATGAGATGGTCTGGGAAGATGAATAAGCCAGAAGGAAAGGGGGAGGGAGAGAGAGAAGGACCTGACATAGCATTGTGGTTTCCTAAGGGGTCGTGGTCTTAGAAGCATTTGGATGAATATCACATGCTGAAGAATTGGCATATTTTTGTCATCTTCTAAAAGCAGAGCACTGGCTTAGGTCCTGGAAGGATTAAGGGCAACCAGCACTCCCACATGAGATTATCAACAGAGAATTGATGGAATGCAGATACAGTTCCTGTCTTTAAGAAGCTCACAGTGGAAGAGGGAGGGCGGGGAGAAGCTGGTTCCTGTGAAAAAGCAGAGGAAAGGGGACATTGTGTGGCTAGACTGCGACATCACCTTGCCCTAACTTCACCTTGGTCATGGTTTCAGCCTTCAAAAGGCTGTCTTGTTACAGATCGGATTCATAGAGATCGGAGTCTAAGGTCTGGTTAGAAACAGTGGAGAAACAGGAGGTACTAGAGAAGAGGGGAAGGCTAGCGATCCTAGGGGTTGGAAAAACAAAAAGAAAACCCAAAAGATAAAAACTAGGGATAATAGTTATTTTTAAAAGATACAGAAATTGACTTTAACTCTTTCGCCTTCTGTCCTCATCTACCCTATCAACACTATGCCCTTGCTTTGGGATTTCTCTCCTTTTCTAAGCATGGAGTCCTAAGCCTTAGGTAAGTAATATCCCTGCTCTGCCCACTTCAGATTCTGCATTTGTAAAACGAGCGATTTGGTGTTCAGTGATTTGGAAACTCAACATGGTAAGGATATTAAAGTGAGAAGGGGAGAGAGGGCTCTTTGAACCACAGTGTCAAATGCCTCCCAAAGGGAGAACCAGCAGCCCAGGCACACACTGTTTTTCCTGGTCTGAACCCTGAGAAGGCAGAGGGAGGGGCAAACTCAAATCTGCCCTGGGGAATTCCCAAGTTGTTGCAGATAACAAGAAAATACTCTGAACTTAGACAGAAGGGCAGGCAGAAATTGAACAGTTCAGCTGGCACCTTAAAGATAGCGGATACTGCATGCATGGACAGAGTGGGGACGGCTTGGGATGTGGGGAGGAGCTCAGCTTACTCAGCCTGCCAGAGTTCTTGAGTCTTGGGAAGTTACTTTTATTTTTCTATGGTTGAATGGGAAGTTACTGAAGGCAAGATAAAGACGGCGAAAGTTACAGTCAAAAGAAAGGACTCCCTAGGAAACTTTGCAGTCTTTCTATAAGCAGTTGGCTGTACTCTTCTCAGTAGTATGTGATAACTAACATGTCAAATAGTCAAATGTGTCACATATCAAGTGCCCACTAAGAAAGACATGATCTTTCCCTTTATGGAGCCAACATAGTCATAATATGATTTCACTTCATCTTTTCAACCCTTACGCATGCTATTAGTATCCCAACTTTAGAAATGAGGAAACAAGGCTCAAAAGAGATTGGCATGTGGCAGAACTATCACTGGAACCCAGGTGTCTTGCCTCTGGATGCCAAACTCAGGCTGCTCTCTGCAAGGTTCCTGATAAACCACTCGGACATCTGTGCCTCCCCACTTCCTGCTGGCCTGCCCACTTCCTTCTGATCTTTTCTCAGGAGCAAAGCTGGGAGTAGGAACACCTTTTGCTCAGACCACCTCCTCTGAAAAACTAGGCGTGAAGGTCTGGTGACTGTTAAACACGATGGAGGCGAAGCATTCTTGTGTCATTTTCCAGTTCCCATCCAGACTCAACATGAGACCATTCAAACTCGCTTTATTGTGTTTTTGCAAGATGATACATTTTCACATTTCACGCTAATGCTTTCACCAACTGTTTGTGATATCTCTGTGGAAAACTCAGGTCTCTAACTCCCCACTCCTTTGTTGCTCTTTTCCCTCTGTTGACTTTTATTCAACATGTATCTCAGATGGTTCAATCAACAATATTTAGAGAAAAACTCCTTTGTCCAGGATACCTGGCTGGACCCAGGAGGGAATTTAGAGATGAGTAAGAGGCATTTTTGCCTGTCAGAAGCTTACAATCTAGTTTTTTGTTTGTTTTTTAAAGATAAAATAAGTGACCTGAGAGAGCTGCACCTCTGTGGGAATTCAGACAGAAAGATTGAGGAGAATTGAGGGAGGTTTTGTAGTGGAGTCTGAATGTGAAGTAGGAATTCTGGCTAATTAGTAGTTCCTTAGGCAAGAGATGAGGAATGCCAACATGAGCCAGACATGGCTTCTGGAAATCCTTTTAGGCAAGGAGTGGTGGGAGAAAAGGCTGGGAAGTATATTAGGGCCATATTAAAGAGAGCCTACTTTAGCATATATCCTGAAAATAAATTTTCTTACATATCTACAGTATCATTATCGCACAAAAAAAAAAATGCAACAAAATTTCATAATATCTAATGTGCAGGCCCTACTCAAATTACCCCAACTGAGAGAATTAACTAAGATATAATAAATGATTATGGGGAAGGGTCATGGTGAGGAACTATAGGTACCAAACATATCTGCAGTGATTTTTTTTAAAGCTTTACCCTCCCACTTCAACTTACACAGAATGTAAATCTATGAACACTAGAATATTCTTTACCTGTTTCACCAAGTGGTAGCATTTTGCCACATTTACTTTTTCTCTCTTGTCTCTGCTCTTTCTGCCTAAATATCCATATTCTACCTTCCCAGCTGCTAAGCCAAACAAACTGGGTCAGAATTTTCAGTGCAGGACTTCGGGGATTGGCATTACGTGGGCCTTTACTAGGAAGTGATCCTGAGATAGAACTTACTAATTCTTTCAACAAACATCTGTGGAGCATGTGTACACCCACTTCCCTCAAGGAACTCTAGTTAAGAAAGAACATCTACAACATAGTGTAAGTATCTATGTTCCTGGCCCCATTGCTTCTGGCAACAAATGACTTTGGGCCCAGGGCACTGGGTTATGTTTCCAGGGTGTTAATACTCATCTTTTCAGTTTCAGAATTGAAGGTGGGAGTGTTCCCTCAGCACACACACTCCCACACCTTCCAAGCCTTTTTGCCTTGAGCCTTTTGGGGATTGGGAACATAGGTCTGCTTTGTAGTTTGCCATGTTGATTCCAGACTCAGTGGACTCCTCTATCCTTTCAGCCTCCTCCACCTAAGAAGAATTATGCCCCAAGCAAAGGAAGGGAGGGGTAGCAGGAAGGAAGTGAGAGCTGTGTTAATCACTAAACAAGGTGGTTTTGCAACTTTCTTAGGGGGAGAGGGTGGAGCCAAGGAAGATGGCCTACTCTGCACACCCAGGGCTGGGTGTTAAGTAAGGTGGAGTTAGAGACAGACAAACTCATAAGGTTAAACTGAAAAGGAAAAAGGGGAGGGGGTGGAACTAGACATAGTGCTAGTGGATTTGTTTTGAGTACTCACCTTCAGGCAGCACTGTGAAAGCAATTTATATGTATAATGTTCAATTCTGCCACCAACCCCAGGAGATACTATTATCTTAATAGGGGAAAGGGAGTTCTGTAAACTGAGGCTCAAGAGTTTAAGTGATTTGCCCAAAGGTTTATATCCAGTAAGTGGAAAGGCCAGGATAGGGGCATATATCTATCTGTCTGATTCCAGAGTCCTTGATCTTAACCATTATAGAGAAAGCTCCAGAAGTGAGAGACACTAACCCCCGGATTAAGAATAGAGTCTTCCTGCCCTGACCGGTTTGGCTCAGTGGATAGAGCATCCAGCCGTGGACTGAAGGGTCCTGGGTTCAATTCCGGCCAAGGGCACATGCCCGGGTTGCAGGCTCGACCCGCCCCCAGTAGGGGGCGTGCAGGAGGCAGCCAATCAATGATTCTCTGTCATCACTGATGTTTCTATCTCTCTATTGCTCTCCCTTCCTCTCTGAAATCAATAAAAATATTTTAATAAAATAAAATAAAAGTAAATGGGAAAGTATCCTCCAGTGAGAATTAACAACAACAAAAAAATCTTAAAGGCCCGGCACTTGTCCTCTCCTATATCAGTCTTACTCTCCTTCCTGTTATAAGTTTTAAGTATCTATTTGCTGGATACTGAGAAATCTAAATAAGTAAGGCAAGTACCCAATCCTCAGGGAGCTCACAATTTAGAAAGAGCATAGACAGATAAATACAAAATAATAAAACAATAACAGAAGTGCATATAAGGTACAGAAGTTGTAAGTGCTTAGGAGGGAGTGATTAACTTGATTAATAAGATGAAGTAGATGTGATTAAGTGTCACAAAGAATATAGATTATGAATTGAGTTTTTTAGCTCTCAGGTTCCCAGTGGAGAGGAAATAAACATGGATAGCATTAATTTTAGCTGAGTTTTAAATGCATTTTATCAGGGCTTCTTAAAGAAGGGAGGAGTCCCCTGTGCACCTCTCTGACCTCATCTATCTAGGGGAACCTGGGCTATGGCTGGAAGAGACTTTCTCAAGTGAAAAATGGGTCATGCTATGTCTTTAGAAGCCATGCACATTTTACTTTTTTTTGTTGTTGAGGATTTTTTTTCCATTGATTTGTGGAAAGAGTAAAAGGGAAGAGGAGGAGGAGAAGGAAAAAGACAGGAGGAGGAGGAGGGAGAAACATATCAATTGGTTGAATCTAGCATGCATCCCAACCCGCACCCCAACCTGGGGCCAGGCATCAACCTACAACCCTGTCCTAGCCGGTTTGGCTCAGTTGATAGAGCGTCAGCCTGTGGACTGAATGGTCCTGGGTTCGATTCCGATCAAGGGCACATGCCCAGGTTGTGGGCTGGATTCCCAGCAGGGTGTGCAGCCGGCAGCCCATCAATGGTTCTCTGTCATCATTGATGTTTCTATCTCTCCCTCTTCCTTCTTCTCTGAAATCAATAAAAATATATTAAAAAACAAACAACAAAAATCCTGTAACCCAGGTACGTGCCCCTGACCTGGAATTAAACCTGTGATCTTTCAGTGTGCAGTCCATGCTCTAGCCACTGAACAACACCGGCCTGGGTATTAATTGTTGTTTTAATATAATACTTTCCCCATCCCCTTGCAAAGAACACTATAAATAAATAACAATGTCATTCCAGGAATATATACCTTATTTATTTGGGGCTTTATATATGTATATCCTCTAGCACACTGCTGCATATCCCTAAGAGTATCCAATGTGAAAAGAGCCATAAAATATGATTATGTATTCAACAATGTGCTATATACCTAATTCTTTTGAGCTGATATGAGTACAGTGGCCCTTTAGTTGCATCTGAAACTCTGAGCGAAGCCAGGGTTATGTGAAGCCAATAGATAAGAGAGACTTGACTATATATAACCTTATGGGCCTCTCTGACTTATATTCCCAGGTACTGCAGAAGTTGGGGAAAACTGTGGAAACCAAAGATGAACGGTTTGAACAAAGTGCCAACAACTTTTACCAACAACAGGTAATCTGGAGAGTGGGGAAGGGGAGCTTAGAGGGCTGAGTGGTAGAAAACAGCACGTTCTTCAAATCAGAAAGCATTCCTAGTACCTCATCTTCCCCAGGTGTAAGGGCCATCCGTGCTGCTTATCCTTGTCCTGGCACCAGAGGAACTTACCTTTCCTGCTTCTGCTGACCCTGGGTTCTGGGGACGGGTGGGCAGATAAGTGTTCTTTTCTCTTAGTGGTTCCCCCAGGGTCCAGTGGCATCACTAGGTCCTTAGACAAAATCAAAATGAGCCCCTGTCACCTTATTTACTTCCCAGGGTGCCTCTCTTCCACCCTAGGACTCTTCTTATCTCAATAGCCTCATGTTTTCCTTGTGGCCTCTTTGTTCACTACATCTACATACCCTACTTAAACCCTTTATTCTAAAATAATACCTCCATCTTTTCACCTGTCATTCTCACCAACACCTTCTGTTCTCACTGTTCCTCTGTCTTCACTGGATAGTATGGGTAATTTTATGTAGAAAATTTACATTAAGAAGTGGATAACAGAGGTTTAGCCTTCCATGGGATATTTGACTTTTCATCTCCATGTGCCAGGCATCGTGCACAGTGCTTTACACACATCTCATTTAATTCTTACATTAGTCTTGGAGATTGTGACCCCCTCTTTTAATAGAAGGGAGTTATTAACTTAAAACAAATATCCAGTTACATTGCATAGTCCCCTACTACACTGCCTTACTTCAGACACCAGGCACAAACTCCAGAGTTTCCTGGCCGTCTGCATTTCTGACCAACTGGCTATAAATTTTGGGCTTCCTACTAGCTGCTCAGCTTCCATAATTTTCTAGAATGATTCATAGAACTTAGGAATGTGTTCTAGGTACAATTTCAGTGTTATTATAAAGAATACAAGTCAAGACCAGCCAAGTGAAGACATATACAGTGAGGTCTGAGAGGGTCCCAAATGTGAAGCTTCTGTGTCCACAAGACATATCACCCTCCCAACAAACTGATCTAGAATTACCAAGCAAGGAATCTTACCTGAGCTTCAGGTGTCTATACAGTTTTTATTGTGATTTCATTGCATAGTGAATCATTGCCCATGTGATTGAACTTAATCTCTAGTATCCCTCTCCTCCCCTCCCCTAGAGGTTGGGCTGATATCACCTGTCTCAGAGCCCTAACCCTCTAATTCATGGTTCATCTTTCCAGCCTGAACTGCTACCATCCTGAGGTATGATCTGAGAGGCCCACCATGAATAATAAAGACACTGCTATCACTCAGGAAATCCCAAGTATTTGGAACTTACTTCCCAGGAACCAGGGACAAAAACCAGCCAAAATATTTTTTAATTGATTTCAGAGAGGAAGGAAGAGGAAGATAGAGATAGAAACATCAATGATGAGAGAGAATCATTGATTGACTGCCTCCTGCATGCCCCCCCACTGGGGATCAGGGCCGCCTGTGCCCTTGACTGGAATTGAACCTGGGACTCTTCAGTCCGCAGGCTGCCACTCTATCCACTGAGCCAAATCAGCTAGGGCGCAGCCAAAATTTTTATTGTTCAACATCAGTTAGTCAAATTATCCTATATAATAAAGGTAATATGCAAATCAACCGAACGGCAGAATGACCGGTCATTATGACATGCACTGACTACCAGGGGGCAGACGCTCAACACAGGAGCTGTCCCCAGCCCACAGGCCCCGATCACCTGATCAGGGCCTGCCGGCCAACCTCTTGGTCTCTTCCCCCGGCCGGCAGGCTCCAATCACCTGATGGGGAACGGGGAACCAGGGGTGAGTGGTGATGGATGCGGGTAGTACCAGGCCAAGGACCCCACCCCGCTGGTCGCCCCAGGGACAGGGACAGCGAGTGGGCAGAATCTTGGTCCCTCCCCCCGGCCGGCAGGCTCCGATGGCCCGATGGCAAACGGGAAACCGGGAGTGAGTGGTGGGGGGGCGGGGCTGGCTGCCAGCAGCAGGAAAGGTGGCCCTGATCACAGGCCAGGCCTAGGGACCGTACCCGTGCACAAATTTCGTGCACTGGGCCTCTAGTATGCAAAATAATTCTTTAAAATTATATTAAAAGGATATTAGCTAATTAGCTATTATCTAACTCTGTAGTAGACTGTATCAGAATCATTTAGGAATATTTTAAAATGCAAGCTCATTGGTAGAAGGGCCTGGGAATCTGTACTTTTAAGCTTGTTTTAATGGAAATTTTCATACCTACACAAAGATAGAAAAACTTGTGTGATGAATCCATATGTACCCATTGCTCGGCTTTGATAATTTATCAACTCCTGGGAATCTTGTTTCATCTGACTGCACCACTTTCCCCCGTCTTTGATCATTATGAAGCAAATTCTAGGTATATTATTTGTCTATAAAAACTTCAACAGGCCAAGTGCCCATCTACACGAATAAAAGACAAACATGCAAATTGACCGCACCTTCGGTCACTATGACACACACTGACCACCAGGGGGCAGACGCTCAATGCAGGAGCTGCCCTCTGGTGGTCAGTGCGCTCCCACAGCGGGAGCTCTGCTCAGCCACAAGCCAGGCTGACAGCTGCCAGTACAGCGGTGGTGGTGGGAGCCTCTCCCGCCTCCTCAGCAGTGCTAAGGATGTCCGACTGCAACTTAGGCCTGCTCTCCGCTGGCAAGTGGACATCCCCCGAGGGCTGCCAGGCTGCCAGAGGGATGTCTGACTGCTGGCTTGGGCCTGATCCCCCAGGGAGCGGGCCTAAGCCAGCAAGTGGACATCCTCTGAGGGGTCCCAGACTGCAAGAGGGCATAGGCTGGGCTGAGGGAGCCCCCCCCCCGAGTGCACAAATTTTGTGCACCGGGCCTCTAGTCATAATAATAAAGAGCTAATATGCTAATGGTCAGGACGCCATCACACGTAACGACCGATCGCATGAGGCTGCGTGCGCAGCGGGATATTGCTCCGGAGATGGGGCTGAAGCGGGGAGGTGCCCAGAGGAGGTGGGACCATCCTATGCCAGGGAGGGAGGGGGTGAGAGCCCGTAGCACCCCTCTCACCAGTCCTTCACCACCCACGCTTGCACTCAGAGCGCCCCACTGCCCACCTGCCAGGGGAAGGAGCACAGCGCAGCAGGCAGGAGGCTTCCATGCTCTCCTCCGGTGCCATGACAGGGTGGAGCCCCCACATTGCTCCTGAGACAGGGCAGAAACAGGGAGGCGCCTGGAGAAGGCGGGACCAGCCTGAGGCAACTTGAGGAACTGAGGGCAGGCCTTGAAGCAGCCAGAGACGGCCAGAGGGATTTGGGGCTGAGCCAGGCGTACTGGGATCCTAGTCAGTATATAAGAGGATAAAAAAGCTGTGGTACATTTACACAGTGGAATACTATACAGCTGTAAAAAAAAGGATCTCTTACCCTTGAGACAGCATGGATAGACCTGGAAATTATTATGCTAAGTGAAATAAGCCAATCAGAGAAAGACAAATATCACATGATCTTATTTATATGTGGAATCTAATGAACAAAATAAACTGACAAATGAAATAGATCCAGAGACATGGAAGCATGGAACAGACTAACAGATCTCAGATGAAAGAGAGTTGCGGGGAAAGGGGAAAGGAGATTAACCAAAGAACTTATATGCATACTAGAGGCCCAGTGCATGAAATTTGTGCACTGTGGGGGAGGGTCCCTCAGCCCAGCCTGTGTCCTCTCATAGTCCGGGACTCCTCAGAGAATGTCCACCTGCCAGCTTAGGGGAGCGGGCTTAAGCCGGCAGTTGGACATCCTTCTCGCAGTCTGGGACCCCTCACTCCTTACCGCCCGTCTGCTTGCTGCTCCTTACAACTCAGCTCGCTGCTCCTTGGCGCTGCCTTGGAGGTAGGAGAGGCTCCCACCTCTGCTGCTGCACTCACCAGCCATGAGCCAGCTTCTGGCTGAGCAGCGCTCCTTCTATGGGAGCACACTGACCACCAGGGGGCAGCTCCTGCATTGAGTGTCTTCCCCCTGGTGGTCAGTGCACATCATAGGGATCGATCGTTCTGGTCATTCCGCCATAACGGTCGCTTAGGCTTTTATTATATGGATATGCATAGCCCATGGACACAGACAATAGTGAGGTAAAGGTCTGGGGTAGGGTGGGAACCGGGTGTAGGAGGACAAAGGGAGTAAAATGGGGAACATTTGTAATACTCTAAACAATAAAAATAAATTTTTAAAAATTACATTATTGACCTCTAAAGATAAGGACTCTTTTAAAATATAATCACCTACCTGGCTGGTGTCTCTCTGGTTACAGCGTCAGCCCGAGCACTGAAGGGTCTCAGGTTCGATTCCTGGTCAAGGGCAGGTACCTACCTGGGTTGCAGGTTCGCTCCCTGTCCCAGGTTGGGGCATGTGTGGGAGGCAACCAGTCAATATGGCTCTCTCGCATCAATATTTCTCTCCCCCTTCTCTCTTTCTCCCCCTCCCTCCCACTCTCTCTCTAAAAAAAAAGCAATGGAAAAAATACCCTGTGATATATAAAATCACCTAAAATATTTTATTTGCACCTAAAAATATTTTTCTGTAAACATTTACTCATAACAAATCAGAAAGTACAAAAATAAAAAAATTAATTTAAAAATGATTATTTTATACTGTTTTATATCCTTACAATTACTTTGCTATATATGTGTATGATCTCTAAATATATCCACTATAAATAAAAGAGGTTTGCAAAAGTGAAATTATTCCATTTATATGGTTTTATAACTTGCCTTTTTCACTTAACAGAATAACACAAATATCTTTTCAGATAGTTCATGTTGACTATCTCACTAAAACATATGTAAAAAAAAGATATGTCTTAGTGATATTGAAAAATATTAGCAATAACTTCTTAATATCATAAAATATCCAGTCAATGTTCACACTCCCTTAATTGTGTCTTTTTTATAGTTGGTTTACATCAGCAACTGGTTGACATGTTTAAATCTCTTAAAATTAAATCTCTTAATCTGTAGGTTTCTAATCCCTCCCTTTGTAGTTTATTTGCTGATGATACTAGGTTGTTTTCCTATAGTTTCCTGCAGTCTAAATTTTGCTGATTGAATCCCCGTGGTATGTTTAACATGTTCCTCTATCACTTGTATTTTCTGAAAATTAATAGTTAGATTTAGAGCCTTGATGAGATTCATATTTTTGTTTTTGTTTCTTTTGGTTGGTGGGAAGAATATTTATTATTGTAGGCGTTCTATTCTCCCAGCCGGAGGCACACCATTATGGTTGTCTCCTTTTTGTGTGGTATTAACAGCCATAGGTGCTCATTAACTAGGGAATCTATGTTTTACATTAAGCTCTCTAAGTAATTGTGATGTAGCAGCTACTCTGAGAACAGCATTTGGCAACCACTGATCTAGTCTAACTCCTCTGAGGGGAAATAGGATCTGATTGAGAGGGAAATGATTTCATCAAGGTAACAGCATAAGAGTTGCAGGATTCAAACTTAAAACCTGTGCTTTTTCCCCCTGTACCTCAACAAAGGCCTCCCCTGGCCTCTTCTCAACTCCAGTTATTGTTCTACTTTCAACTCCAGGGTAAAAAGAACAGGAGTCAGTAAGATGACACCCACTTTGAAAGGTTTCCAGCTCTTGGCCCATTCTGTCCCTCAGTCCTTTCTCTCCCTCTCTGCCTTATAAGATGGTGCTGCAATGGCAGATGTGTGAATAGAAAGGATAAGAGATGGGATCATCAAGAAGAAAAAGAGTATCAGATGGGACAGTTCCCTCAGAATTCTCTCTGCGAGCCCATCAACTAAATGTCACTTGATAGGGGGAATATTTTTGAGAAATGAAATGGAGTTAGATTAGGAACAAGGAAAAACTTTTCTTCTAAGAGAATGCTGCACCTATAGTAACTCGTGTTTGAACATGCTTGGAAAGTTCATTTAACAAACATTTATTTCATGAGTGCCTGCTGCATGCAGGTACTGGGCTGGATGCTGGGACTTCACAGATAAGAAACATACCTGCCCTCAAGGCTCTCACAGTTTAAGAAGAAAGAGAGTGATAATACAGTCAGGTCTGAGGCTGGACCTGGAGTGGCTAAGACGAACAGGAGGAAAAAGGACAAGGCCAGAGATTGAAAGTTAAGCATTCTGGAAATTGGACCAGTTGGTCACGTGCCCTTTTCCTCATCCACAGTCAACTTGTAGGTAAACTTTTTGTTAATAAAAAAATATCACTCCAAAACTTTCCAACCTGATTTCAAGGCCTTGCACTTCCCTAGGTTCCTAATTAAATTTCCATAGGTAATTTTTCTTTGAGGGCTCTACTTGCTTCCCTCTTTTCCCTCTCTCCAAAACATATTATATAGGAAGAATTCTTTTTCCCAAGCAGTACTTTAATCCCTTATTTCTGGTAGCTGAGAGCTGCTTCCAAATCATTGCTTTTAAAATCCAATCTAACAATTTAGCTTTATCTTCCCCTTTCTGGACCTCCATTAGATCAAACACTTTCAGCACTTGCTCAAGGTTGGTCATGCTATTTACTTATTTTGCTGAATGTTTGGGTTTCTCTGGTCCATTTTTCTCCAGCAAATAGGGAACCCCAGGACTGGGGCCTTCTTTATCCTCACTACCCCAGTCTCCTAGAGAACATAGCTCTGTTTACCTACCTGCGTGCTTAGGAGAAGCTTCCAGAGTGAGTGGTTCATTAACTGAGGGCTGGGACTGTTTGTATAGGGATGGGAGGGACTAACTCAGACTCTTTATAGTGCTGCCAGGAATTTGACAAGGCTTCAGAGAGCAGAAGCAATACAAAGATTTAGAGCTAAACATTGCCTTACCCGGCATTTATAGATGAGGAAACTAAAGCCAGAGAAGCAGAATAACTTGCTAGTTGGTGGCAGAGACAAGTATTTGACTCCCAGACAAGTGAGAACCTGGGGTGACTTAGCCTGGAGACATTTCAGGGAAGACAGGTCAGAGAAATACAATGACATTCAGCACAGGCACTGGGGTGGTGGGGGCTTGCCCGGGGTGGGAATGGCTAGTGTGGGGAGGGGGTGTCAATTGGGGAAAAAGAAGACATATGTAAAACTTTAGACAATAATAATAATTAAAAAATGACATTCAGTGTTTTTTCGCCACCCCGCATCCTACTACCACCACTTCATCTCCTCAAAGGAAGGAACAAGAGCATAAAGGAAGAACTTTGAGGAGGCTTGATTCTAAAACACAAAAATGGATTTGGACTTTCGTGAGGTGTGATGGAGGGCAGAAGGCATTCACATTTTATGGACTATGGAATAAATAGTTCCCCCTAGTATTGAACAGTGTGCATACAACCTACACGATCATACATGGTAGCCTGATTATTTACCTGGTTTTCTAGGCCATATAATATCCAATGGGATAAAAATTAAGAATTTTATTTATAGAAATTATGTAAGATTTTACCAGCTTTTGTTCCTCACATATGTATTTTTCAGACCAAATCTTCACGGTGAAGTAAAGAGTTGAGTCCAAATTGTTTTCTTTCAAAAAAATAAATTTAAATCCTTGTTAATTTCTATAATCCCTAAAACTCTTTCAGAACTTTTTAAAACCTGGGTTATCACATTTGCAAAACTCCCAAACTTATACCTACCTACCATAGCCATGTTTAAAAGGTATTATGGTTGGTGGGTGAGAAGAGATCAACCAAATAACTTGCATATATGCATAACCCATGGACACAGACAATAGGGTGGTGAAGGCCTGGGTGGGAGTGGGGTGGGCTAGAAGGGGTCGATAGGAGGAAAAGGGGGACATATGTAATACTTTCAACAATAAAGATTTTAAAACAAATATTATGTACATTTAACATGTTAGACTATTAAACTTTTTTTCTGTTGATGGAAAAGCGAGGAGGAAGTGAGACATCCTTTCTGGTGAATGCTGAGTGTTTCTGAATTTTTTTTAACCGACCAAATTTGTCTCCATAATGCCTTTGAAACACTTTCTCACGGTCAACAGTGACCTCCCATTACCAAGTCCAGTAACTTTTACAGATTCTTCCTGCATTCTAACCGCTCTGTAGCATCTGACTCTTTTTGGTAATTTCTCTACTGCTGTCTTTATTCTCATTTGCTATGACACACTACACAATCCCAGTTCTTCCCCCTCTCTCACAGTGTGTTAGACTACCTTGAGACTATCTTTGTTTTCATGTCCCTTGAGCCTGGTATTCAGCCCCTTGAGGAGGACTGTTAACCTGAAGTACAGTGAAAAGTTTGGACTGGCTTAGAGGAGAGCTCTGGAGGCAAGAAGATAAATGAAATAATTAGTCCAGTTTTCTTTATTTGACTGAGTAGATCTAGATTTTCTGCTAAAATTAAACAATAATGGTCTTTACTTCAAAGATGTACACAAAATTTTAATTTAAGTTGTTAGATAGAATTTTCAGGTTTTCTCCTATAAATTTTTTATACTTTTGGTATGCTCAATAGCCTACCCAGTAATGAGCACAAGCAAATAAAACAAATGAACTAGTTCACAAGTATGTACTGAATAATGCATCTTAGCTCAGATACTTCATCACCTGAACTGGTAGGAGGATCACGCTTCTGACCCATGGGCCTGGCCTTTCAGTCCAGTCCCATACTCCTAAAGTCAGGCTCCAAAATGTCAATGGTCTGGCCCAGGGGTGGGCAAACTTTTTGACTCGAGGGCCACAATGGGTTCTTAAACTGGACCGGAGGGCCGGAATAAAAGCATGGATGGAGTGTTTGTGTGAACTAATATAAATTCAAAGTAAACATCATTACATAAAAGGGTACAGTCTTTTTTTTTTTTAGTTTTATTCATTTCAAACGGGCCGGATCCGGCCTGTGGGCCGTAGTTTGCCCACGGCTGGTCTGGCCTCTAACTTCCTTCTTATCTAACTCCTAAAAGCTGGAGTTCACACAGAAGGGGAAGGGTCTCTAAAAAACACTCTGAGGAACAACTGAAAAACCTGTGAAAAAGACTTGGTACAGGGCATGTGAAAGATCTCTTTAAACATATGTGCAAGAGAAATTATATCTGCCAGGAGTACAGAAGGCCAGTGTAAGGCCAGTGGGCAAAAGTTCTGATAGAGCTATTTTAAAATGAAGTTCATCCTCAACAAAAGATTATGTGAGTTTCTGGTTGCTGGAGGTATTCAAGAAGCAGAGGCTAAATGAACATTTGTCAGAGCTATAACAAAAGTAGCTCATCTATTGAGTTGAGAGTTGAACTGCCAAACCTAAATGATACCTTCTTCTCCTCCTCCCTTCTGTTTTTAGAGGGAAGAGACCTAATCTCTGCTTGGGAGTCCTAGCATAAAAAGTGAGAATTCAGACACAGGAGCAAAGATCGAATCAGGCAGATAGATAGAACTATAAGTGAGGACACTGGAGTTGGAACAGGAGAGTCAATGATGAGGCTCCTTGGAAGAAAGTATAAAGCAGGTGGCTGATGGAAGGGTAAAGTGGGCTAACGCAGAGAAGGACATTAGGGGAGGAGAAGAATGGCCTGTGTGAGGGAGCAGGGAAGGAAGAGGGTCTGGCGTCTGCAGAAGATGGTAGCAGTTTACCCAGAGAGCAAGGCATAAGCCAGATGATCACTGAATTTCAACAAAGAAACTTAGGTATAGGCTCTTGTTCACTGGAAGGAAGGACATGGGAAAGAAGACATACCAATGCAGTGGGAACAATTTCCCCTTGAAAATTGCCCCAAAGAGACAACCTTCAACTTCTTGGTAAAGAGAGTAAAAGCTAATTTACATTTGCAAGTGTTTGAAGAAATTCAGGATTGATCCCTGCTTTTAAGCTACTTTTATACTTTGACCTCTGCAGCGTCTTTCCACATATATCTCTTTAGTCACCAAAGGCATTTCTCTTTCAGGCAGAGGGCCTCAAGCTATACAAGGAGCTGAAGAACTTCCTGAGTGCAGTCAAAGGTGGGTATTGTAGCACTGGAGAAAATGCAGAGGTTTTTATGCAGCTCTGGCAGGTTTGAGGGATGGGGAAGAAACCCAACCGTACTCAGGGTTTTTATCGCTGCTTGCTTGCGTCTGACTCCTGGAACTTGGTGGGCCAAGGAAGAGTAACTTTTTCTATCCCAGCCCCAGCCAGCTTCCCTCACTGATAACCCAAACCTTCTCAGTTTATCCCCCTGATATGCCTGTCACCCGTATGATTATTCCAAACTACTTTTGGGAAACTTTATGGAGCTCTCTCCTTTCAGTAATGCATGAAAGCTCAAAGAGAGTGTCAGAAACCCTGCAGGAGATCTACAGCAGTGAGTGGGACGGTCATGAGGAGCTGAAGGCCATTGTAGGGGTAAGTGTTCCGGGCTTTCCAACTCTTCCCAACTCACTCCTGCCCTCATTTCAACATCACCTTAGCGTCTCCATCAAGCAAATAGGAAAACAAAGGAGCCAGCCCTAGCCAGTTTGGCTCAGTGGATAGAGCATCGGCCTGCGGACTGAATGGCCCCAGGTTTGATTCCGGTCAAGGGCATGAGCCAGTTCACATTGTTCATTTGTATAGTCTCAGTCACAGGTAGAAGAAAAAATTGCAACTATGAAGGTAGAAACAAGTTTTCCCTAATCTGTGGACTCTCTGTTTTTGACCCTTTTCCCCTCTTTAAAACCTTATGGAAGGTGCCCTGACCGGTTTGGCTCAGTGGACAGAGCGTCAGCCTGCAGACTGAAGGGTCCCCAGTTCGATTCCGGTCAAGGGCATGTACCCTGGTTGTGGGCGCATCCCCAGTGGGGAGTGTGCAGGAGGCAGCTGATCGGTGTTTCTAGCTCTCTATCCCTCTCCCTTCCTCTCTGTGAAAAATCAATAAAATATATTTATAAAAAAAAACCAACAACACCTTATGGAAGGTTTCATGAAACCTAACTTCATGTAATTATTTACTCCCAAACTTACCTATCCTTCAAGCACTAGAGTCCAATACTCTGACCATCTATTCCTGTTTTTAATCCCTGAATGTATGTCTAACCTTTTATAGGGCAGTTCCTTGGGGAAGGGCTGTTTCTTCATCTGATTCTTCCCAGTGCTCAAACAAGGAAGTCCGTTGCAGAAAGACTTTGGGTATTTCCCTGGTATGCAGTTGTTGAGAAGTGGAGCCCTCACAACTCCCCTTTGCCTCTGTCCCACAGAATAATGATCTCCTTTGGGAAGACTATGAAGAGAAACTAGCTGACCAGGCTTTGAGGACCATGGAAAACTATGTAGCCCAGTTTGGTGAAATTAAGGTACTCACTGGATTTACACAATCAGGGATGGGTTATGAGTGGCCCATATAAGAGACCATATTGGGTTAAACTTATAAGTAGAGTTAGAGCCTGTGGTTAGGAACAAAGTTGAGTAGGTTAGGAGAAGGATTAAAGTTGAGGGTTAGTCAAGAGGTTAGGGTGGAAGGTTAAAGGTAGTGTGGAGGTTATGTTTAGACTTAGATTTCAGTGAACTAGATTTGGACTGATTTTAAACTAGATCCAGGTTAGAGCATCCCTTTTAGTTGTTTGAAACCACTAATGAGACTAAAAGATGTTTATTGTAGAGAAGCAGAAGGAGTCATAATAGTTATCTGCAAATATTAGAAAGTCTGTTAGTTTAAAAAGGAAGTGAACCTGTTCTAAACAGTTCCAGAAAGCAGAATTAGAATTCATTCAATTAATATCACCTAGTCTGCCAGGCACTAATTTTAGATTAATAGGAAGAAATGAGAGTAAGCCTTAATTTTCCCATAGTTAGAGCTTTCCCAAAACGAAGTAAAATGGAATATACTATAAGATAGTGGGTTGTCTATTCTCTGTTCAAACAGAAGTCAAAGTACTTCTTAACTTAGTAATTGTAGAGATAGTTCATGTATTGCATAGGAACGTGGACCAAATAATTGTTAAGATCCTTTCAAATTCTGTGATTGAAAGAATGAGACGGGTCAATAACAGTATACTTTGTAGTTTGGATGAGATTGAGGAGACTCTCAGTGTTCATAATATTTTTATTGTGCTTTAGGATTTTCAAAGGACTTCATATTCAGCATTTGATCTTTAAAATAACACCAAAAGACAAATAAGGCTACTGAGGCTTCAAAAGAGATGGGCCTTGCCCTCGGTCACAAGGCTAATAAATGGCAGTGTTGGGCGTGAAATCCAAAACTCCTGCCTTTCAATTTCATAGGAGTCTCAAGACCACTTATCCCAGAGGCTGAACTAGTTTCTAGTGAGTTCGTAGGAAATGTTAATATTTAATGCAGGCCTCCAAGTGTGGGAGTGCCCTTTATTTCCCCCTGAAAACTCCCATTCTTTCCAGATAAGGGAGATCCCTTGGGTACAAAAGCATATTAGAACTTGAAATTTGGTAATAGGACCCAGGAATCTTGCCTCTCTGTTTGATACTCTGTTACCTACTTCCTGGCCACTGAAGAATATCAAGGCTTTTTCTCATGATTCTGGGTTAGGAAAGAATTGCCAAGAGGGGTCGGAAACTCGTGGACTATGACAGTGCCCGACACCACCTGGAGGCGGTGCAGAATGCCAAGAAGAAAGATGAGGCCAAGATTGCCAAGGTAAAAAAAAAAAAAAAAAAAAAAAAAAAAGCCTGGTAAAGCCTCCCCTGTCACGCTGGGTTTAGGAAATGATAAATTCAACCTCCAGGGTCCTGAAGGAAGTCCCTGTTCCCTCTGACACCGATGCCCTAAGGATAGCCAGAGAGTCAAGGCTGGGGAGGGCATGGCTCTGAGAAGGAGAGGCATGGTTCCAAGTAAGCCTGGTCCCTGAAAGGATAAAAGCAGCAGCGTCTATCCTGGGGCTCAGGATTGAGGGGAATTGTCCTGTCTCTTTTACCAACCAGGCAGATGAAGAGTTCAACAAAGCCCAGCTTGTGTTTGAAGACCTGAACCAAGAACTACTAGAGGAGCTACCTGTTCTTTATAATAGGTAATGACTACGATTCTGGAAAGTGCTGTCACCTCATGAAAAAAAAGCATCCAAGAGTAGGTTGTAGCCTCGGCCTGGCTAACTTGTGTAATATTAGGCAATATTATCTCTCTAGACATTGGTTTCTTCATATGCAATACACAGATAACCATCCTTGCCCTGCCAGCTTTTCCGGCTTTAAAGACAAGATGCTTGTTGAATAGGAGAGAGCTTGCAAGTAAAGTGCTGTCATTATGCACAGTAAGAGTATCTGGTTTCATGCCACAAGGATGTATTATTTTAAACAAGCGTGGTTTGTGACCATCCACATTTACATAGATAAATCATGGGATGATTATTTCCATTAATGAAGATGTCTTTGTTTCACAGTAGGTAAAAGTGCTTTAGATGTAAATTTTTTACACTGGAAGAGGAATCTGAGCAGAAATTCCATTTGTATCCTATTTTCTTTTCACTGTACAAGCTATGCTTTAATGCAGTTGCAGCCATTGTATTTCATATTGTCACTGAATATTAGTTTACATATGATGGAACCTTTTTAATAACTACATGTACTCTAAAACATTATATGACTTAATTTAAAAAGAAGTGAAATTCAATAGTTTCTTGAAATGTAAATTTTCCCAATTCAATTCCAGTAGAATTCCATTAATGTACATATAGCTTCACAGAAGTTCAATATTGCATAATGAGAAAGAATAATTACTTATTATAATTGTAATTGGCCCTATATTTATTTTTTTATTTGCATATAATATTTTCCCTTTTTTGTATGTCCTTATATTTATATAGCACTTTAAAAATTCTTCAAAGCACTTTAATGTCTGCTTCAATACCTAAAGAGCCTGAATCAGATAACTTCATGCAGCTAGAGATCTGTTACACTTTGGTGTCAGCCTGGGCTGAGTGTCTCCTCTGGCCTTCTCACTCCTGAGAGTCAGGTGTGCTCCTGGGCTGGCTCTGATGAAGCAGATCCCAGAACATCCTGAGTCTTAGGATGTGGGGTGCTTTCCTCTGAGGATCCTTGGTGGTGGCTGGCTTTGGCTAAAGCTCCTACCTTGTGTTTTCAAAAAAAGACTTTCTTTACCAACCCTTTACCTGGATGTTTGTTGTTTTGTCTCCTGATAGTCGTATTGGCTGTTATGTGACCATCTTTCAAAACATTTCCAACTTGAAGGATGTTTTCTACAGAGAAATGAGCAAGGTGAGACACAGCTGGTCAATTTAGACATCTCCGTGGATTTTTCTAGTAAATATGAAAGTAGTCCTAATTTACATAATCATTAGTATCCATATCAGCACCACAGATTTGTACCCTTTTCTCATGAAATGAAAGCACTTGATTAACTGTGTTGACCATATTAAAGCATAAATACATATCAGAAGGTCCTTTCCATCCCCGTTAACAAGTGAATAATAGGATCAAAACTTGAACTTCAGATGAATAAAGGAGGTTAGGCCTATGGAAGGAACAGCTGAAATGGGGAACTAAGTAGTGGAATATCTGTCTTTGGTTGCTATAGAACAAAGAGGACAGTGTTTAAGCACCAGTCAGTTTCTCTGGTAGTTCATTGGTCTTGAATAGGGCCAATCCTACTCAGGACATGCAGGCACAGAACTGACCTCATGGGGTCTTTTCTAGTCCTGGGATTCCAACACTCTTAGCTATCATCAACTACATTCACATCCACATGCACACATGTTCTGCTCCACAGTTATTTTGGCTAAATTATGATTTGCCTAGTTAATATTACCATGAGTTTTCATTTCCTGGATCACCTGAGAAGCTAGAATCTCAAACATCAAGGACCCAACCTTAAAAGCTGCCAGTCTGATGGAAGAAGCAGAACTTAAGAAGGAAGTCAAGGAGGAAGGGGTGGTGGGACAGGACCCTGCCAAAGAAATGAAGAGGAGTTTTATAATTAAGGGTGGGAAGGTTTTATTTGGGAGAGCTGTCTGAAAGAAAGTAGAGAAGGGATATGCCAGTCTCAGGTCCCATCTGGCTAGCATCTCTTTCTCTCTTGCTGGCTCTAGCTGAACCACAATCTCTACGAAGTGATGAGCAAACTGGAGAAGCAACATTCCAACAAAGTCTTTGTGGTGAAGGGACTATCAAGGTGAGCAATTTCTGAGACTCTTTCTTGTTTCACTTGTCCGGTATGTGAACATATTCAACAGTCTTGTCTTCCATCCCAAATCCTGGCCATTCCTGTGTGCTTATGTGCATGATATTGTCTGTTGTTACACCCCTATATAAATTCTTTTACCTGTTATGAAATATTTCAGCTATAACTACAAGTATAAAGAGTAAGACAACAAATAGCCACATACCTACCACAAAATTTAAGAAAACAACTATATATAAAAAAGTTTAATATGCAAAGTGTCCCTGTGGGAGTTTGGGAGACCAGGAGTTCTATCGCTCGCTATGACGTGCACTGACCACCAGGGGTGGTGTGGAACCAAGGAAGGCCCCAGCTGGCAGCCAGAAGGCCCCTATCGGCCCTCATCACCGGCCAGGCCTAGGGACCCTACCCATGCACGAATTTTGTACACCAGGCCTCTAGTTATATATATAATTGAAGCTACCAGTATCTCTTCCCCACTCACTTTCCACCAAAGGTAATCACTATCTTAAATTTAGTATCTATTATCCCCCTGCATGTCTAATTACTTTTATTATACACACAGAAATTATTTTTTTGCATGTTTAAACCATATAAATAGAATTATACTGTATTTTTTAAAAACTTCTTTTGTTCTTAGTATTGTTTGTGAGATTTATTTATTCTTGTTTTTTCATGTGCTAGCTCTGTTCTTTCCATACTGTTATGGATGCTGTTGTATGGCTAGTTCACAATTTATCTCTCCTCCTGCTAATGAATATTTGGATTGTTTCCTAGTTTTTGCTATTACAAATAATGTTACAGTGAACACATTTTACATTTCTCTTTGTGAATATTATCAGGAGTTTCCTTAGGGTGTGTACAGGGAGTGGCATTGCTGAGCCACAGAGTCTGTGCATTTGGGCTTCTTCAGCCTTACTAGATACTGCCATTGCCAAATTGTTCTTCAGAGTGATTGTTTCCATTTACAATCCACCAACAGTAAATAAAAGCCCTCATTGCTCCATATTCTTGCTATATGTAACGTTGTCATACTTAATTTTCAACCTAATGGGTATGAAATCTAATTTTTTTGCAGTTTTAATTCACATCTCCACAATTGCTAATGAGCTTGAACATCTTTTCACATTATTAGCCATTTAAGATTCCTGTTCTGTAAGTCTCCTGTTTATCCTTTTTTCAAATTTTTCATTGGATTGTTTACCCTTTTTATTTATTTTTTTTAGAGAGAGAGAAAGGGAGAGGAAGAGAGAGGGGTAGAAACATCAATGAGAGAATCCTGCACGCCCCCTACTGGAGATTGAGCTGTAACCCGAGCATGTGACCAGAAATCAAACAAACCTGTGACCTATTGGTTCATGGGTCAGTGCTCAATCACTGAGCCACACCAGCCAGGCTCTATACCCTTTTTAAAATATTTTAGTTATATGAACTTTTTGGGGGGGGGTTAAAAATATTCTGGATATTAATTATTTAATGATACTCATTGCAAATATTTTTAATCTGTTATGGATTGATTTTCCACTTTTTTCTTTTTTTTGTGGTGTCAATTGCCATCATACATTCTTTATGCTGGTAAGTATAAGCAATTCACTGGTCCCTCAGAATGTGATCACTTTCTTATTTGGAAGCCTTTATTCAGGAAGTTTGATTACGTTCCTTCTATGGTCAAGTTTTATGCTGAGAATTAGGGATCCAAAGACATAGAGATTTGTTCTTTCCCTGAAGTGATTTACAAAAAGTTGAAAGGACAGAAAATGTGCATTAGGAGATAAGGACTAACTTAAACTTTTGCACATATAAAGTGCCTAATGAGAGTGGTAGGAATGCCAGAGAGATAAGTAATTGCCAATGTACAAACAGCCTGACAAGGTTTTAAAGAGGTGATGAAATTGAGCTTGAGACTTGACAAAATAGGGCTCACATCTGTTGCTTGAACTTCTCATTTAGCAATTAGTTACAAACTATTAAAAAGAATCACTAAAGAGCCAAAGTAGACTTCCTAGGAGAAATCCCTTTTGATCAAAAAATTCTCTCTTCTCTTTCCAATATTGAAAACCATGATTCTCTCTAATTGTTCATTCATCTAAAACTTATGATTACACCAAGATGTCTCAGACCCTTGTAGGGAAATCTGGTGTTTTCTTGCTGTGTCCTGGGCCTTCTACACCTACTGACCTCTAGAATTGTAGCGCTAGAAAGAACCTTGTATCACTCAGCTTATGTCGTATCAGAAACTCCCTTAGAAGGAACTTTCTTTTACCTCTTTCTCTTCCTATCCCCATCTCCCATCCTAGTGCTCAGGGCACAACACATAGTTGGCACCTGTCAAGGAAAGACTTGTGAGTTGCTTAATCACTCAGTGTACAGTACACAGGAGGCCTTAAGAAGGTGAGGAGTTAAGCTAATGCTGGCTGTAGAAGCACTTAACACAGTATCCAGCCTACTGGATATATGTTACAGTTAAATTTTTTATTTATGGTAGTTATGTTCTATAAAGTCACCATCAGCACTAAATTAGTGAATACTGAACCACTGTTCCCAGGGGAAACACGGTTAGGTTTCTGTGAGTCCCTGGTCCCAACATTTTCATCAACTGATCAATACATAACCTTGTCTTCTGTGTGTTTCTGTTTAAAGACAGTTTATTTAATATATGTTGTTGATTCATTAACATTGAACTCACAGCCCACAGAACTATATAACTCATGTCTGAACAAAGCTTATAACATACATATTTTCTCTGTAAGGCACATCACAGTCCTTTAGCTCTTAGCACTTTAGCACTACACTTGGAGGCCATTTTAAACAAAAAAACCACTAACAAAAGTACAGCAGTGAAAAATATGGCAAAAGGACATGTTTACAATGTGAGAGCTGAAACAAGAAGGCAGAATATTTCCTTGTTAGACCTCAGGTGAGAAAGTGCTGTCAGGCACTGATTTTTCACAGCTTGCACATGTCCATGAATGACCATGAAAGCATCACGAGTATTGATTTTGGGTTACAAGTAAATTTTAGGGAGTCGGTGAATTTGCAAATGCAGAATCCATGAAGATCAACTGCATATCACCCATGAATCTTTTCCCTAGAGAAAATATTTTGTTAGTATGTTCTTGTTACTTTCTGGTCTCTTTTTCTTTATATATTTGTAAATAATTGAGATTTTGATATAGCCTTTTACACTCTACTTGATAACATAAGCATTATTGCAAATTATATAGACTTTCTAGTGTCATTTTATTTTATTCTGTTATTCTATAGCATGCATCATTATTTGGGGGTACTTAAAAATACCCAATAAAACTTCCATTTTTTTTGCTCTTCTGAATCTGAATGTCCTTCATTTTTAGCAGCAGCAGACGCTCTTTAGTCATCTCTTCCCCAGTTCGAACATCTACAGTCTCCAGCCCTCCTACCTCACCTACCAGTCCCTCTACACTTTCCTTGACAAGTGAGAGGGAGTCCATCTCAGCAAGTGAAGAAGAGCTAACATCGGATCCAGCTCAGGGAGAAGACAACTCTGAGATTAAAGAAGAGCCATTAAAAGAAAAGGAAATAGAGAAAGAAGAGGCTGAAGCAAACTCCTCTGAGGAGGAACAGCCTCTGCCAGCCTGCAATGGCCCTACCCAGGCCCAGCCCTCTTCTCCCCAGCCCACTGAGGGTGGCGAGTCCCAGGAGGAAGTTTTCTCTAGCTCCCCAGATCCATCCCCAGGCAGTGCCCTAATCCCTTCAGAGCAGCCGGCATCTCTCCCAGAAGTTGTCCTCCGAACCCGAACCTCAAGTGAAGGGTCTAAACAACTAAAGAAGAGAACCCCTGTCCAGAGGACCTCAGCACCCCCTAATAGGCCTCCTCCACCCAGAGGCACTCCCAGCTCCAGAACCCCCTCAGGGAACATACCCTCCAGTCCTGCAGCCTCTGAACCAGGTTCACCCACCAGCCCCAGGGCCTCCTTGGGGACTGGGCCTCCAAGTCCTAGTTCTAGGGCCACTTTCGAGATTCCTCTTGATCCACCACAGAAGCCAGTAAGAACTGAGGACAAAGAAAAGGAAAACACCGACAATCTGAACCCAGATCTTTGTACTTCCCCCACCTCGGTGACCCCTCAGGTGAGAGTGCATTTGATTAAGTCTATTCTCTTTTATAACCTCCCTGTAGATCATCTTTACTATGGCCAGGTTGTCCCACAGTTAATCAGATTTTGTCATATTATAGTCTCAAGAATACTCTTGACCACTTTTTTGTTGTTGTTCTGGGGATTGTTTCACATCTCCAGAGCAATTAATTTACTGACCTGTACTCTTAGGGTATTTGACTTCTACAAAAGGCTTATCTCTAATAATATTATGAAAGATTTCTACTAATTTTATTTTTTGCTACAAGTTTGGGGAGTTCCAATAAAGAATCTATACCTGACATCTTGAGCTTTAACTTTTTAAAAAAATATATTTTATTGATCTTTTACAGAGAGGAAGGGATAGGGATAGAGAGCTAGAATTATTGATGAGAGAGAAATATCAATCAGCTGCTTCCCGCACGCCCCCCACTGGGGATGTGTCTGCAGCCACGGCACATGCCCCTGACCAGAATCGAACCCAGGACCCCCCAGTCCGCAGGCCGACGCTTTATCCACTGAGCCAAACCGGTTGCAGCAAGCTTTAACTTTTGAATAGGGGGTAGGGAAGAGGGTCTCACTTCAGTTTGTCATACTTATGACTGTGGTAAATAGACCTCAACCAAATTGGCATAGAATCATTTCATTGATAAGAAAGACCTAGAAGGAACTCAGAGAGGAAGGAAAGCAAAAAAGATGGGCTTTTGACAGATGAGAATGTGGATGAGAAAAGAATGGTGTTAAAATAGAGACACAGCCCCTCTGGAGAACAAGCAGGTCTGTGAAGAATCTAGCAATCAAATCATATTCTATTCAGATGGAAAGGCTATCATAGATTTGATGTATCCTATGAGATTCCTGAGGGCAGAACTAGGCCCTATGTATAAATATTTTTTAAAGTACATTTTGAATCAATACCAGGGAAACTTTTAGCAATTAGCTCTGTTAAAAAATGGTATGGAAAAAAAATTTTTAAATACAGTGGGGCCTTGACTTACGAGTTGTAATTCGTTCCGTTGACGGAGCTCGTAACTCAAATTACTCGTATGTCAAATCAACAGTGAACGAGTGAGACACGTGATGCTGGGCTGATGTTGTGGCGTTCACTGTGACGTTTGCTGCACCAACTAGCGGTGGGGTATCTGAAGCTGGCTCGTAACCGGAATTTTAGCTCGCAACTCAAAGCAAAAAATTGGCCGAGAGATGGCTCGTATCTCGAAAAACTCGTTAGTCAGGACACTCGTAAGTCAAGGCCCCACTATATAGGGGTGCCCGGCCAGTATGGTTCAGTTGTTTAGCGTCAGCGCATGAACAAGGAAGGAGGCCACAATTGATTCCATTAGGGTACATGCCCGGGTTGCCGCTCAGTCCCCAGTAGGAGGCGTGCAGGAGGTAGCTGATCAGTGATTCTCTCTTATCATTGATGTTTCTAGGCTTCTCTTCCTCTACTTTTTTCTCTCTGAAATCAATAAAAATATTAATATTATTTTTATATATATATGAATGAAAGGGGACACAAGGGGCTGCTAAACAACAAAATGTGATGGGCCACCATGACAAATAGTTCTCCTTCCTTGATATTAAAAGCTAAGATATATGATCATCTGTCAGGTGCAGTGTAGGGAGGATTTGGGTGAGACATCTGACTGTATGGTACCAAGATTCATTCATTCACGCATTCCACAATTACTTAGTGAGTCCTTACGATGTACCAGGCACTTTCCTAGGAAGTGGGGTATTACAGTGAACAAAGCGTAAAATTCCCTGCCTTCCTGCATCTTATGTCCTAGTGGAGGAGGGGAGAAGATGAATACAAAACAGAATAAATAAGTAAAATTATAATTAGTGGTGATAAAAGATAGGGAGAAAAATTAAGTAGGGAATTGGGGCTGAATTGCGATTTTAAACAGAGTGGCCAGAGAAGGTGACATTGGGGCAATGAAAGCGGCCAGGGCACGAGCCATGTGGCTGTCTGGGAGTATGAGATTTCTGGTACCCCTCAGATCACACTACCCTATCACTGCCTATGCCTAAGGAAGGTTGACCATGATACCTTGGGAGCCTCCCGCTATCTGAGAGGAGTTAACATGAACAACAGGCACCAGGGTGGTATCCAGGGTGTGAAGGTTTGGAACTTTCTTCTACGTTGTCCTCTTTGATCTACAGGGTTTTTCAGAATCTGACAAGGCAAGTAAGATGGAAGACAAAGAAGAGAACAAGCTCATCTTGGCTGACTCCCCTGAGGTACTAAAATCTAAGTCATCAACATTATTATGCCCTGAGACTTGATTCACATGAGGTATTGAAGGTCCTAACAGAGCAAGATATAAAACTTCCTCTTGGCTGGTTTCTGGTGTGAGGTCACTACGCTGATAGAGAGATGTGGGGCATATGGATAGTGAAGAAGCCCAGGGTAATTGTGGGATTTCGAATCAAGTATAGCCACTTCTCACATTTCTGCACAAAGAAGATTAACTCAACAATATGGAAAATCCAAAATTAATTTATATTTGACTTTGTAATATATGACTGTAGTATGGAGGCAGCAATAATGTGAGCTTTTTGGCTCTGATGAATAATAAAACAAATTTTCATTCTTGGAGTAATCTTATTGAAAGGGAGATTATGGGGACCAAGATGCTGCTGTCTATTTTGAAGAACAGGCTAATCATACTGTTCTCCTTTGGAAAGAGGTACAGGACACAACCTCCTTTCCCCTGAGGCGACCTCCTTATATTTGAGAATTACAGTGTTATTGTTTTTTGTTTTGTTTTGTTTTGTTTGAGAATTATAGTGTTTACTCACAGCCTTTCCTGTGGGATTGCTTTGGTCATCAGCTAAGGAAACCTATTTTTCCTATGGAATTAAGCAGCTAGAGCATCTTAAATCCTAGCCTATCAGTGTCATCAATTCTCTGAAACCTTTGTCCTACTAGATCTGTTTACTTCCCTTCCCTTGCAGATACATCATAAATCGTATTTTCTCTCAAGCAGAATTATGGACATATCACATATAAAATGGATCACATATAAAAAAGATCATTATGAGGAAATTAGTTCTTGCTTAGCATTTGAAATACCTGTGAGAGGATGATAACTTTCTGGGAGGTAGTATTACCTTTCAGGTAATTCCTGGCCTGAAATCAGAGGAGAGAACAGAAGAAAATTTTCCTATAAGGAAAAATCAAAAAATTTCAAGTAGCTGTCATACTTATAGAAATTGGTTATACTCTAAAATGGTGAATTTTATAGTGTGTGAATTAAATTTCAATTAAAAATAAATTAATTCTTAATTGTAGAGTTCCAAGGCCTTCTCCTGGCTTAGCAGCTCCTAGACAGAGCTTTTCACACTTTGGGTTCCTACTGCAGAACCTAGAACTTTTCCCAAAGAAAACATTATAGTCCAGGGGTCCTCAAACTACGGCCAGCGGGCCACATGCAAATACAAATATTGTATTTGTTCCCGTTTTGTTTGTTTACTTCAAAATAAGATATGTGCAGTGTGCATAGGAATTTGTTCATAGTTTTTTTTAAACTATAGTCCGGCCCTCCAACGGTCTGAGGGACAGTGAACTGGCCCCCTGTTTAAAAAGTTTGAGGACCCCTGCATACCACTTGCCTCTCCTAACTGCCATAGGTTAGGATCATCTCAGTGTGTTAACTGCAGTGTATTCTTAAGGAGAGTTAGTCTAAAAGTGGTAGGTAGTGTTCTTAAGACCTATATTTATATCCTCTCAGACTCCCACATAGACATACATACTGATGCATGTCACACAAATTACAGTGTCTGATTATGGAAACAACTCTAGAGCCCAAAGACCTGGTTACCTGTCTCAGCAAGTCATTTCACCCTCTGAATCTTGGTTTCTTGACCTGTGGAAGAGGATGACAGTAAAGCCTTCCCTGGTGCCGTCAGGCTGTAGTGAAACAACATTGTCTGTTTACCCTTTGTATTGTCTGTGACCCTGTAGAGTGTAAGGCAAAGAAGACCTAAGCTGAGAGGCTGGGGAGGTTGAGCCACCTCTCACTGGCAGAACTCTTCTTTTTATAGAGCCAAGGTCTCCGGCGTCGTGCCTCTGTGGTTCCAGAAGACAGCAACATCGCAGCACCTGAGCTTCAAGAAGAGGTAAGGTGGACAGATACACAGAGACCAAGATGGGTGGTAAGATAGGTCATTGGGAGTGCACAGAAGTTTGACTACAGATTAGAATCTTCACCATGGCTGCTAGGGGAACCCAGCAGTGAACAATATCCTTAGAGCAAAGTCAAGCAGGTGGGAACAGGGGAACCAAGCGTAAACTGGGACATTGTGGGTTTGGGGTGTCCATTCCCCAACACTTGGCCTTGGACTCTCACCATAGCCCTATCTCCCAAGTACTTATTTATTTCTGAACTTATTTCAAAAAGAAAAAGAAGTTACATACAAAAAGGCAAATACATATACACACACAAAATATAGCAAAGTAACTCAAATATATTAATGACAGTGACATAAAATGGAGCGATGAATTAGGCAAATAGAAAAATACATTCTATGAAATAAACTTAATAAGGATGGATCACAAAATTGGTTCCAGACTTTCTAAACATCCAAGAAGAGAAAAATCTGATCAGTGCAGCCAATTCATGATGCCATTCCTTCAAACGACTCCTGCTACTAAGATGAAAAGGAAATTTCTCCTGTGAATCCTTGTAAAGAGATGATGAAGGATGCAATGACCAGTATCTGCAAAAAGTTTTGACAATAATCCCAACAACCAGCTTCACTTCCCTCAATATTACAGGACATGAAATATAGTTTGATAGAAGCAAACTGAGTTTTTACCCTCCTTGAGCGGTTGGTGGGAGGACAGGTGAGCATCTAATGCAATCATGTTTACTTTCCAGGTATCTACAATTCAAAGTGCACAACTCTGAAGAGTAACTGCCAAGACCTCCCACATATGTACATCTCCCAGAGAGATTCTTCAGCTAGAGGGTATATAAGCACAGAGACTTAAGGCCTAACATTCATTTCTAGGTTCTCAAAGTGGATGCTGGTTGTCTCTAAAGACCTAGCATTAATGGAGGCTGAGGAGAGACTTAGGGGAAGGAGGGAGGCAGACAGGCTTGGAAGAAGAGATTGTTAGACTCAGGGAATATTTAATTCAGATTTTAGCATTGTTATATAATAAGACTTTATATATTAAATAAAGTGGGGCTAAAATGACTATAACAAGCAAAAGCATCTATAGATGCATACACACAACCATACATACTAGAGAACGGGAAACAAATCTTGGATTTACCACTCATTTTTTCAAGACTTGAAGCCAAAAGAACATATTTTCAGATTGTTAAATAAAGGTTTATTCTATGTATGGAGTCTTTGCTTGACACAGGGAGGTTGTCCCAGTCCAGCACACTGTTCTCCGCGTTGGCAAGGTTATTGCTTCTAAACCTGGGTTCAGAAATCTTTAGTCACATCCATGACCTCCAGCTCACTTGACCTTCTGGCTTTAACTATTTGATGATGTTGTGGCCCCACCCCATAACAAAGAAACAGAATTTCCGGAGGATGAGACCCAGAAGTCAGGATTTTAAAAAGATTCCCAGGTGATTCTAATGTGCAGCAAAAGTTGAGAACCACTGGGCTACAGGCTCCTCAATCTAGATCAGAGGTTCTCAACCTGTGGGTCGCGACCCCTTTGGCGGTCGAACGACCCTTTCCCAGGGGTCGCCTAAGACCATCCTGCATATCAGATATTTACGTTACGATTCATAACAGTAGCAACATTACAGTTATGAAGTAGCAACGAAAATAATTTTATGGTTGGGTCACAACATGAGGAACTATATTTAAAGGGCCAGAAGGTTGAGAACCACTGATCTAGATACTCTACTGCAGGGGTCCTCAAACTACGGCCCGCGGGCCACATGCAAATACAAATATTGTATTTGTTCCCGTTTTGTTTTTTTACTTCAAAATACGATATGTGCAGTGTGCATAGGAATTTGTTCATAGTGGTTTTTTTAAACTATAGTCCGGCCCTCCAACGGTCTGAGGGACAGTGAACTGGCCCCCTGTTTATAAAGTTTGAGGACCCCTGCTCTATTGCATGCACCTACCCCCGACCCTTGGTTAATAAGCAAATACTCTTGGAATGGGGTTACATTTTAGAGTTCTATCTAGTGTTAATAGTCTGGTACTTGGTGAAGTAAGGACCCGAGCAGGATGGAAGAAGAAATGGAACTCCAAGGAAAAGGGTACAAAGTATAATAATATAATGGAAATGGCATGGAATTGGCACTCAAAAGTCCTGGTTCAGCTGTATCACTTGCTTCTGCGATACATTAAAAGCTAACTTAGAAGTCTTTCCCACCCTGGTAAACACGCACACATGTAAATACTCATCCATCCATCTGTTTTTGTTTCTAAGGGTGATGGACAATATCACCTTTCGTTCTATCACTCAGCAAGCATTTATTGAGTACCTGCTCAGTGCCAAACACTGTACTAGGTACTAGAGAAATAATGAGTAGAACAAGTAAGAATTTTATAGAGACAGAATATTGAGCAGGGAGAAGAATGGCAGGATTTAATGTGTTAGATGACACATGATAAAGACTCAAGTTTTAAGAAATTATTCTAGGTTAGGCTTGAGAGACTAGAATTTCATGGTGCCATTCCCTGAAATAGTGACTATAGGAGGAAGTGCAGTGTATGTGGGTTCTATGTTTGCAAGCAACAGACACAATTAAGCAATAAAGGATATGTAAAAGGATATTAGGCAGCTCATAGAACTGAAAAAACAAACAAGCTGCAGAAGGCAAGAACCAGCCCACAGATATCTGTAGCAGGAATGTGTGGATTGTCCCTCTAGGCCAGTGGTTCTCAACCTTCTGGCCCTTTAAATACAGTTCCTCATGTTGTGACCCAACCATAAAACTATTTTCGTTGCTACTTCATAACTGTAATGTTGCTACTGATATGAATCGTACTGTAAATATCTGATATGCAGGATGGTCTTAGGCAACCCCTGCGAAAGGGTCATTCGACCGCCAAAGGGGTCACGACCCACAGGTTGAGAACCGCTGCTCTAGGCAGTTGTCATTGGAGGACAGCTTCAGCTACCTTCTGCCACTGTGTCCTTTCCAGATCCAGATTCCCTGGAGAAAGACCCTGACGGGCCCAGTTTGGGGGGAGGCATGTTAGTGTCTACAATGACAGGAAGAAGACCAGTGGTGGGGATGGTAGTAAGGAGGGTGGATTACAAAGAAGTACAAGGAGCCTGGCCAGTTGTGCTCAATGATTGAGCATTGACCTATGAACCAGGAGGTCACAGTTTGATTCCTGGTCAGGGTATATACCCAGATTGTGGGCTCCATCCCAAGTGGAGGGTGTGCAGGAGGCAGCCAATCAATAATTCTCATCATTGATGTTTCTGTCTCTCTCTCCCTCTCCCTTCGTCTCTCTGAAATCAATGAAAACATATTTATAACCAAAAAAAGTACAAGGAAACTTCTGGGGTGATAAAAATGTTCTTAATTTTTATTGTGGTCATAGTTTATTACATGTATACATGTGTCAAAACGGATCAAATTGTATGCTTTATGTGCAGATTTTTGGGAATCTCATACAAATATTTGAGAACTTGCAGGACTTTCCAGTAGATATTTCCATTAGGGAACTGGAAATACATGTTTATATTTATTTTTTTTAAATATATACTTACGGATTTTAGAGAGAGGGGGAGAGGGATAGATAGAAACATCAATGAGAGAGACACATTGATCAGCTGCCTCCTGCATACCCCCCACCGGGAATCGAGCCCAAAACCTGGGCATGTGCCCTGACTGGGAATTGAACCAGGAACCTCTTGGTTCATGGGTTGATGCTCAACCACTGTGCCACACCAGCCAGGCTACATATTTGTATTTAGAAGTCATTTTTCTAAGATTGAATCCTGCTATTCTTTTATTTAAAAAACCTTCAGAGAATCTCTTCTGTTGTAATGGAGAGAAGGTTGCATGCCCCCCTCTAAAAGGCCTACTGCCTGTATTTTAATACCTCTCCTAGAAGGCACCCCAGTCCTTTAGCACTCAGAATCACTGCTGGGAGTGATACTCCAGGGGTATTATTAGAAGGGTGGGAAAACTGCTGGGAATACAGGCCCCTAGCTGTCCAAGGCACTCTTTGAGCTGCTTGGAATGCCCCACCCATTCACCTGGCAAAACCCAGTTCAGGCCTTTTCTCTGCAGGGCTTTCACTGACCCTCTTCTCCTAGGAAATTGATTCTCTTTGTGAAATGAACGCTTTGTTTGTATATCGCACTACTGGAGGGTCCAGAAAGGCAGGAGAAAGGGCCAGTAGGTTGGGCATGAGTGATAATTTTGCTTATCTAGGACAGCTATTCCCAGGTAAGAACCAAACTGTTTATTGAGATATACAAAATGGTAAAGTTGTCCAGGGGGAAAAGGTCAGGACTCAGAAGACTCATCTTGGCAGCAACATAAAGGGCTGAAATCCAGTAAAATTGGGCAGAGATGAATATCTCTTATCCCCTGTCCTGAGGCCCTTGGAGATCTGTTGACAAAAGGATGGCTGCTCTAGTTTCTGAGGCTCAGCATTTAGTCCTCGGAGAACACCGGCAGGTCACCACACGAGGCTTCATTCATCATCTGTATGCATCTCTGTGTAGAATTAATTGCAAGAACATCACCCAGTCCCTGCTTTCTATCAATTTGAAGGACACTATTGACAGACTAGGTAATATGTCCAGAGTACACTAGAAATATCCAGGTCATCTAGGGTATAGCAAAGAGCAGAGTATACACACCGCTAAATTGGTGCTGAGCGTGTACATACTGGGTCCTCTTTCTACATGTTAACACTTTTAAAATGAATGGTATGTGCCTACAGGGATCAAATCACATATCAGCAAAACTTTTAAGGTTACATTTTACAGAGAAAAAAGATGCTTGTGAGAGACTATTAACCTTTAAATTATGAAAGTAACAGTGCAGATCAGTAGTCAGTTCAGTTGGATGGCCTCTGAGAGTCTGTGGTTCTAACAATTTTCAATACATAATGGAATATATGCTGAGAGAGACCAACCAAGAAACAAGAAAAATTTCAACCTTACCTGGAATTCATAGTCAGCTTGTCAGTAAATGCAAGCAGTTGTCCACCTTTGGAGTTTAACCCTTAGGATCTGAATTTCCTTTTCTCTTGAGTATTCTCTTATGTGAGGACTGGTGCAACTGACCTTTTACTAACTTAGATGTGCCTTGCCTGTGTGTTACTTTCTTGGTTGGAGTAGCAGTTTTCCCATACCTGGGCTTTCTTCTTCACTGATCACTGCTATGCCTTTAAAGATATATTTAAATAAAATGAACTTTATTAACTTACTCTGTTTTATCCTGTTTTTACCAACCAAATAACATCTTTAGAAATGAAAGCAACTACCCTTGCTTATTTCATGTCTTTGCTTTTTTTCCCCCTCTCACTGTGCCTTTATTCTCTGAGACTTTCTCTTTCAGTCTTTGTCTCCCAAATAAACTTGCATAATCCCTGTCTCTCTATCGATCTATATAAATATTGGTTCCCAAACCTAGAGAACGCTTTACAAGAATAAGAAGCACAGAAGTCTGTATCACTGGGATGGAAGGCAGAATAACCACAAGAGTTCTGACCCCCAGTAGGAAGCCAGGGTAACAGTAGCGGGCATTTATTGAGCACTTACTAGATGCCAGGTAAGGTTCCAGTGCTTCAGGTCAGTGATTTCCAACCGGTGTGCCGCAAGAATTTTTAAAACATGCAATACCTGGCTATGTAGGTTGTCAAATTTTTAAAATGACAACAGCGAACACAATAGCCGTCCAGTGTGACTGAATCAAAATTATTCCTATTTTTGTCAGATCGGCAAAAAACATTTTTATGTGCCCTAGAATTTTAGTAATTAGTTTATGTGTGCCATGAGATGTAGTAACGCATCCATCCTCACAGTAACTATGAGACAAGGATTGCCCCCACAACAGAAACAAAACAAGTAATTTACCCAAGGTCTCGCGGCAGAGCAGATTTCAGAGCCTGTGTGTACACCAGCCCATCCTTAGTCACTGAGCTCATCGTTAATTGGGCAACTTTCCTGCCACAAAGAGGTGAGTCAAGAGGTGGCTGCAGTACGGCATTGATTAAATCCTGCCGTGTGCGGACCATGTCTGCGAAATGAAACGGCTTCTCGGGCACGGCCAGCTTCCGCCCCCTCCAGGGGCAGGGAACAGGCTTTAGAGATGTTAAGTTATTTGCCCAAAGTCAACAACCAACAGCGGCCCAGCGGAGACGGTGTGAGTCCAAAGGCCATGCCGCTCCCCAACCCCAGACGGATGTCCACAAAGAAGACCGTCGGGACGGGGCGGCGTCCCTCTCCCCCCGCCCGCACGCGGGAAGCTACCTTGCGCTCCGCTTCTGCACAGACCTATTTTGCCTAAGTGATAAGAAACGCAAGTCACTGTGATTCCCCACATTCCACTGAAAACTCAAA